GTTTTGGGGGAGGAGTCTCCGGGAAGCTGATTTCAGTTTTGGGGGAGGAGTCTCCGGGAAGCTGATTTCAGTTTTGGGGGAGGAGTCTCCGGGAAGCTGATTTCAGTTTTGGGGGAGGAGTCTCCGGGAAGCTGATTTCAGTTTTGGGGGAGGAGTCTCCGGGAAGCTGATTTCAGTTTTGGGGGAGGAGTCTCCGGGAAGCTGATTTCAGTTTTGGGGGAGGAGTCTCCGGGAAGCTGATTTCAGTTTTGGGGGAGGAGTCTCCGGGAAGCTGATTTCAGTTTTGGGGGAGGAGTCTCCGGGAAGCTGATTTCAGTTTTGGGGGAGGAGTCTCCGGGAAGCTGATTTCAGTTTTGGGGGAGGAGTCTCCGGGAAGCTGATTTCAGTGTCTAGTCGATGGTTTAGCTGTGATATAGAGGAAGTTTATCTTTCCCTCAGACAGATTCTGGTCTGATAGCCGGTCCTGTGCAGAGTATGAGGAGACAGTTCATGTGGAGAAGAGATTTGCGCTTGCGAACATCTGATTGGCTGGGAGAGGTCACATGTCGGATCTGCACATTATGTGTCACATTCTGCTGAGAAGTTACTAATTACATTCCCGGAGACGCAGAGTTTTGTTTTCATCTTTTCTGATCATTATTTTGCACGGATTTTAGTTAATAGATATTTTTGCACATTATTGTTGTTATTATGTCTTCAGGTTACCGCGAAAGCCGCGAATAAAGAAGTCGCGTTATTAGTTGATTGGTGTGAAATAAGTTGGGAATCTCCTTCCTTCCGGATCCCGGACAGTTTTCATTCTGATGAGCGTGACACACGGGCACGCCGGATACGAGTCGGCAGGTTACTGACGTGTGATTTTCCGCATGTTCCTCAATAAAGAGACGTATCTGACTTGCATTTGGGGTGCCGGTGTCCAGGCCAGCCATCAGAAATCTTGGGCCCCTTACACGGCTTTAGGCCGGCCCCCCGCCGCTGGACGCAGGTCTTAGGTCTCGTTCACACCTCGGCGTATTGCATATGCGCGACAAACGCGCGTTTCCGAAGGCTGCTTGGCTGCATCCCGATGGAAACGCGCAACAAAAACGGCCCAAAGTAGCTCCGGGAACTTTCCAGGCGCGGGCCGCTTTGTAGCGCGTTAGGGACGGGCGCCGAGGTGGGAACCAGACCATTGCATACAATGCGATTTAGATGTTGGAGTGTTTTGTAGAGCGTTCGCCGAGCGTAGAACCCGCCACAGAACGTTCCGGTGCGAACGAGGGCTCAGTGACGCGCTGGACGCAGGACCCACCCGAGAGTGACCCTGCAGAGCCCACCATAGATGCTGCACAGCCCATCTGAGACTGTCTATGGTGGGCTCTGAAGGGGTCTCAGGTGGGCTGGTCAGGGCTGCATCCCTCCCCCTCCCTCCCTAGCTCCTCCTACCTGCACACGTGGCCTCACCTGCCTCCGGACCGGCCAGAAGTGACATCAGATGAGCAGCGTCGCTGATGGGGCCCTAGCTCGTCTCGAAAGCCGCTGGAGCGGCAATGCTGGGGCCCTGCGCTGCTAGGGCCAGGCCTCCGACTCCTCACCCTTCACCGGTGGCCAATAGTCATGTAAGGGACCCGGGTGGGCCCCCCAGACTGCCCGGGCCCCTTACATGAGTATCGGCCGTACCCTCCTGATGGCTGCCCTGCCGGTGTCTGATCTGGTATTGTCACCTGGACCGGTTTGAGGTGTAGATCCGGATACCGCTTCTGGGAGTCAATCTTCAGAAGGAGGAGGAGCACCGGTCAGAGGCCTTTGCCTTCACTATGGTCCAGCCCTCCCTTAAGGAGGTTCGACGTGCCCTACCGTGGGAAGAGGAGGCTGCTGGACCAGAGGAGAGTGCAGATTCTTCAAACACAAGAAAGCGCAGGCCGGCAGCTTCCCCTTTATAGAGGAAGTCAGAGATATTATCTTTATGGAGTGGGGACAGGTGGAGAAGAAGAAGACTACCTTGTGCAATCGATTTGCCAAACTTTACTCCATTCTGAGGGAAGAGCTGACATTTCTGGAAGGATCGCCTGTGGTGGACGCAGCCGAGCTGGACACGTGACTTCCCCCGCTGGTGGTCGCATTCTGGGGTGTGTTGGATAGACGCACCGATTTATCTGGCGGCAGCAACGTCACAAGCTCTGGAAGTACGGGCGAATGAGACGGCGGCTGCAGTGTCCGGTAACCTCAGCAACGCGGCGATAACCCTAACCCAACGGACTCTCTGAAGAATGTGGCGTTTGTGGCAGAGGCATCCCATTGGTTGGTCTGTTCTATGGCCAGAATAATGTTACGTTCGGTGACAGGGAGGCGAGCACTTCGGCTTCGGGTGGCAGGTTCTACTTCAAAGCAAAGCTGGTTCAAGGCGCCCTCTGGAGGGTCAATCTCTTTTTGGAAACCAGCTTGAGACCTCAATATCCAAAGCCACAGGTGGAAGATCCGGCTTTATTCCGAGACACAAGGCTCCTGCGCCAAACAAACGCATGTTGTAAGGATGCAGCTCTAAATCCTATACACCGGGGAAGGAGTACCGCAGACCGCGGGGAGTCTCCACAGGCGCCTCCGGCCTGGACGCCCATCCAGACTTGCCAGGCGGGGGCCAGATTAAGCAGCATCCGGCAGGTCTGGGCGGACGGCATAAAGGATCGGTAGGTGGTAACCCATCTCAAGTCCCCCCCGAGACACATTTGTTCCCACCAACATTCCACCTCGCAGCTCCAAAGCGGACTTCCTTTGTGTGTAACGGCATTGCGATCCCGGGGCGCGGCGGTGGTGAGGTCACGGCAAGAATACTTTTCAGGGGTCTATTCCGCAATACGCTGGAAGACCACATGCCTGCGCTGTCCACGGAGACGCAACGGGCGGTGGAGACGCAACGGGCGGGGGAGACACGAGGCCGAGACCACCCAGAAACTGTGCCGCTAGTTCTGGACTCTCCGCCTGGCACCCGACCCGGAAGACACTTCTTGTTCTGCACGGAGAGTCTCAGAAATCCCGCCGCTCGGCTGTAAAGAGACTTTCATCTGTGCAAGTAGAGGAGCACGGGGAGCACGAGGAACACGGGGAGCACGAGGAACACGGGGAGCACGAGGAGCACGGGGAGCACGAGGAACACGAGGAACACGGGGAGCACGAGGAACACGGGGAGCACGAGGAACACGAGGAACACGAGGAACACGGGGAGCACGAGGAACACGGGGAGCACGAGGAACACGGGGAGCACGAGGAACACG